GTGTGTTTGTGAAACAATAAGATTTAATAGTCCGAAATTTACGAAAGTGAAGTACTTTAGAAAAAATGAAACAAAAAAATCAGAAGAAAAACCATTTAACAAAATTAATTTCTCTCACTTAGTCCACTTTGTACTTTTTCCAAAAAAAAAAATGTTTTCTTTTAATCCCAATGAAAGTTGGACATGTTCCTGCTCTCTGACTGCAAATTTCTATATTGAACAAAAGAAAAAATATCACTAAAAATTATTAATTTTTTTCATTAGAAGAAAATAGAAAATTTTAGATTTACTTTTTCAAAAATCAAAAAAAAATTTCTCTTTTCTCTAAATTCAGATTAGTAAAAGTGTTTATTAATTTGAATCAGAAATTGACTTTTTGCTTTTGAATTAATATAATTTTGCTAATAAATAGTACTTTCTACTAATTTATTAGTAAAATTTACTAATTCAAAACCAAAAATTAATATTATATTATTATAATATAATAGTGATTATAATACAATATTTAGAATATAATATAGTGTAAAGTACAATGTAATATAATTTTAATAATTATTATTATTTATGTTATTAGCAATATTTATTTTATTATATTTATTTATTATTTATTTTATTTATAAATTTATGACCTAATTTTAATTATTAATAGAAAGAAATAAAATATTTTTCCCTTTGGAAAAATACAAATTCTTTTTCTGTACAAAAAAAGTCATAAACTTGAAATATAAACAGAGAAATAAAATAAAGATAAATAATCTTAAACTGAAAAGAGAAAATAGGGTTAAAAAAGAGAAAAAAAAGTGGAAAAAAAAGTAGAAAAAATAAAAGATTCATAGAAAGCAAACAAAAGAAACACAGGAAGTTGTTTAGCTTTCCTGGTAGAGAGTTCAATAATAGAGTTTTGCGAGGGCAGGAACAACCCTACTTTGCATCCGTCAATTTACTCGTTCTATCCATATTTTCCCAAATGCAAATGTGTGTATGTGTGTATATATATATAGATATATATATATTTATGCACAAACCAGGTTTGCCTCCTTCGACGGATATAGATTGAATTTCTGCGTATCTGTAATGCTCTTTACAAAACCACCACGTGCGTGCACCGTTAATGTACATGTATACTGTATAGCTTTTAAGTAAGTGTATTATGCTCTCTGAGAGAACATGCTCTAAGCTCTTCACCCTGGCGAAAGGAACCTACGTTTGCTTGTCTCATTTCCTATAAACCCATTTTTTTAACACGCCATTCACACTACTACTACTAATACTACTACTAGTACTACTAAAAAGAATACACCGAATAGCTGATTTTTACCCCTATTTATAAAGAAGAGAAATACAATTTGATTTTTGTAGTAAGCTGACCGATAGTGACTGCAGTTGATGCAGATTTTTAATACAAATTATTATTTGCATTATTATTGGCAAAAAAGCGAGCAAAAAAGTACCATTAATGATGCCTACATTGTTACTAGTACTAATACTGATTCATCATCACGGATACCATCATACGGATATCATCCATATTGTTGACAACAACATTGATACGGATTTTGACCCAAATTATCTGTACCAAAAGATACAGTACCAAAATGCTGTATTACTTACAAAAAAATTGCTACCAATACAGATTGTAACAAACATTATCATCCAGGTTGTTGACAACAACATTGATACGGATTTTGACCCAAATTATCTGTACCAAAAGATACAGTACCAAAATGCTGTATTACTTACAAAAAAATTGCTACCAATACAGATTGTAACAAACATTATCATCCAGGTTGTTGACAACAACATTGATACGGATTTTGACCCAAATTATCTGTACCAAAAGATACAGTACCAAAATGCTGTATTACTTACAAAAAAATTGCTACCAATACAGATTGTAACAAACATTATCATCCAGGTTGTTGACAACAACATTGATACGGATTTTGACCCAAATTATTTGAACCAAAAGGTACAGTTAGTAATTGCTATTAGTTACTTAAAAAAATTGCTACCAACACAGATTGTAACAAACATTATCATCCGGATTGTTGACAACAACATTAACTTGGATTTTGACCCAAATTATTTGTACCAAAAGATGCAGTACCAAGATGCTATCAATTACTTACAAAAAATCAAAAATTGCTACCAATACAGATTGTATTAGCAGCAATTTAGACATTACTTACTGTACCTTTTGGTACATGTAATTTTGGTCAAAATCTGTATCAATGTTGTTGTCAACAATACGGATGATAACGTCTGTTACAATCAGTATTGTTGACAACATTGATACAGATTTTGACCAAAATTACTTGTACCAAAAGGTGCAGTAAGTAATTGTCTAAATTGCTGCTAATACAGATTGTAACAAACAATTTACATCCGTATTGTTGACACCAGTATTAATGCTGATTTTGATCCAAATTTTATTTCCCAATACCAATAGTATTGGGTATACTTTTGGTATACCTAATTTTTATTCTTATCAGATATTAGTATTAGTTCCAATTTTATCAACACTTCTGGTACCTAAAATTCACTATTGTTGTCAACAGTATTTAATCAGTATTAACTGATTAAATTTAAATTTAATTTTAGATAAAGGATGATGATACCATCATTACCGATCAGTATAAAAAAGAACAACAAATTTTGAATAAAAATTGATAGATTGCTTTTTAGTTTCCAGTGTGTTTGAATTATAAAGGATATATAAGTAAAATTTACAATCTAGCATGATTCTTGGTCAATCAACTACTTAATTTCTTGTATTTCTTTTCTTTTTTTATGAAAACAATTTTTTTTTTTTAATAAGCCTGTCTCTCCTATAAAATCCCTACACTCTATTGTTTTCCACACTATACCAAATCCAAAAGTACAATGTATAGATTATTGCCTGTACATCGTGACAGTTTCGGCACGTGCTATGACCGCTAAAAAAAACACTCGCTAGCATTAGTCTATTTGGCAGAAACGTGCTACCGTGGTTTTTCAAATCGATTTATCATATATTCCTCGTATGATAAATCTACATTTCTGATTAATACCACGAAAAAAAAATTTTTAATTCAAATTCACTTAATTTCAATTTATTTAAATTGTACATATAACAGCTTCTATCAAAATCAAAGATTCTTTTATAATTGTTTAGTCAAAACAATTTAAAAACAATTCAAAGCAATTCAAAATAATTTTAAACAATTCAAAACATTGAAAAACATTTTAAAACAATTAAAATTAATTGAAAACAATTAGGATCAATTGAAAATAATTGAAAACTATTGAAAACTATTGGAAACATTTTAAAACAATTAAAATCAATTGAAAACAATTAAAATGAATTGCAAATAATTAAAATCAATTGAAAACAATTAAAAGCTATTAAAAACAATTGAAAAACAAACTAAAACAAGAAACGAATAAAATTTGTTAACTATTTTTTCAAATTGTTTATAAAACAATTAAAAAATAATTTTACTGAAGTTAATTTTTAAAAATTTTCACAGTAAACTTAAATTCTAAATCTTAATAGTGACTGGTTTCGATTTATTTATTTTTCTTATAAAAATTCACAACCTCCTGACTAATTAAAAGTATTTTTTTTCAATTCTAAATCTACGATTTTTTTGTGGAATTAATCAGAAAAATATCAAGGTTGTCGTACCTTTTGTCAAAATTTTTGAAAATTTCGAAAGTTTTTTCACACTGATATACAAATTATTAACTCTCCTAATGACAATTATATTAATTATATTATAATTAAATTTTCAATATAAGAGAAGAATTATAAATTTATTCGAATATTAAAATTTCATTTCACGTCACAATGTCTGCTGGTTCCTTTTTTTTTAAATAAAATTCTTATTAAGAAAATAATTTTCGAAACGTTAAATTAAATTTTTCATAATTTAAATTATTCCTTTAAAGTTGAATTTAGAAAGAAAAAGGATTTTAAATAAAATTCGAAATTTGAAAATACATCAAAGCTACAAAGTATAGAAATATAAATATAAAATAAAAATATAAATTATAAATAGAATTTTCAAAAGTGGACGAAAACTACCAGCCTTGATAACAGCTTTTATCAAAAATACTTTTCTTCTTATTAAAACGGTTTTAACAAAAAGCAAACATTATTATTATTTATAAATATATTAATATTTATGAATAATATCATAAAGTATAAAAATAAATTTATTTTTATACTTTATGATATTACTCATAAATATTAATGTCAATATTAATTATTAAATAATTAAATTAAACATTTTTAGTTAATTTGCCTACATTGCATGCCAGTGTTTGCAAATTTAATCCATACGATCAAATTTCGACAAAATAAAATATTTTTTGTTTAAAAAATTCCAATAAATCGAAAATTAAGTGATTTATCAACTAACCATTATTGAGCCAAGTTTGGCACAATATAAAGTTGAAAAAATTTTTCAAAATTCTTAAGAAACTAAAACGCTAGTTTAAAAAAAAAATTTTTTTTTAAATTAAAAATTTTTTTTTTTTAAATTACAGAATTGGCGCAAAACTGGCACAATCATGGCAACTCTCAAAATTTGTAAATAAAATTTGTAATACATTGCAATCAAATTTTTAAATTATAAAACAAAAAAAAAAACAAAACAAAAAAACAAAAAAAAAAAAACGAAAGGAAAGGAAAAGTTTTTTGATATCAGTTGTTCCATTTAATTGTAGTTAGCTATCCACGGTGCATGTTTGTCCTCGCCTTTAAAATAAAAAAAAGTAGACTACCGATACCTTATCTTTAAAAAAAAAAAAAAAAACTACACATTGTCACCTTGATCAAACAGTTGTACCTAATAATTTTTGTGGGTTGGGACCTTAAAACCTAAATTTTGTTGTATATGTATATAGCGTGTTTCCAAGTATTTTTGCCCCCACCCCAGTTTATTTTTTGCCACCCCCCCTTATCACTCCATAGATAGAGTGCCATGCCATGCCATGCGTGTTCGCTCTTGCTGTAGGTATGTCGCGAGTTTCAACGCGGGGCGTGCAAACGCGGCGAGACGGAGTGCCGGTTTGCGCACCCCCTCGAGACGGTGCAGGCGAACGAGGACGGCTCTGTGACGGTCTGCATGGACGCTGTCAAGGGCCGATGCAATCGGGACCCCTGCCGCTATTTCCACCCCCCTCTGCACCTTCAAGCCCACATTAAGGCCACACAATCTCGGGCTAGCATTGCGGTAATGCATTCTCTCTCTCTCTCTCTCTCTCTGAATCTTTTTCACTCTCTTTCTCTCTTACTCTCTCTGTCTATTTCTGTTTATTTTTTGCCTATTTGTCTTTGTCTTTTCTTCTCTATTTAAAACCTCCTTGTTTATACTGACTATTTTCATTTTTTTTTTTTTTTTTTTTTTTTTTATTATTAGAACTTTTGAATTCTTTTTTATCCTGTTCCTTGTTATTTTAACCTTGTAGGATTATATTGATTTTTTTTAATTTTTGTTATTCTCGGTGTAAAAAATGTTGGGTGCCTAACCCATTTAGTCCCAAGTGTCCGTTTTTATTCTTCACATTTGCACTTAGCATTTTCGAAAATGGTGGGCTAAAAATAATTTGCACACCTTGTTTCTTATGTATTTTTTCGTCCTCTTTCAGAATCTGCAAGAAAATTTAACTTATGACTTAATAATTAAAAGTTATTATATAAAAAAAAAAAAAAAAAACCGTAAAAGACTTTAAAAGGTCAGTGAACACTATCATCAATATTATTAAAAAACGGTTCGAAAATAAAATTAATAAAGTTATGATTGTTTAAACAAAAAAACACCAAATTTTTTGGTTTTTCTTTCATTAAAACTATATTTTCGATTGAAAAAACGCTTCAGAAAAAATTTGGACCGACAAAATATGTTAACAACAATTGAATATGAAAAAAATAGTTTTTTCTTTTAATATCCTATTTTCTATAGGGTTCATATATCTTGAAACTTAAATTTACATCTAAATATTTTTAACAAAGTTGTAAACAATTCTTGTAAACAAATTATTTATTTTCAGTAAATTGAAGGTAAAGTGCTGGTATTGGCAGTACTCTCACATAGAAAAATAACATCGAAAAAAGGATATTAAAAGAAAAAACTACTTTTTTATATTCAATTGTTGTTAAAATGTAATTTGTTTACAACAATTGTTTATAACTTTATGGAAAAATATTAGTAGGTAAATTAAATGTTCAAGATTCATTAATCCTATGGAAAAAAAATTGTAAAGGAAAAAACGAAATTTTTACATGTTTACTTATTTTTAATTTGAAATTTATTTATAACAATTGTTTATAAAGTTGTTAAATAATTGTAGTCAATAGTTTTCACCTCAAAGATTCATTAAGAGAACAGTAAAAAAAAGTCGGTGGAAGAAAATACTATTTTTCAGCTTCAATTATTATCAATTCTTAATTTGTTTATAACATTGTTAAATAATAATATTAAACAATTTTTATCATCAATATTCATTGCAACTATCAAAATAAGAGCGATATGTAAACAAGAAATTTTTTTTTTAATATTTTAGTAATTTGTGATGAGAAAATGTGTCTAGAATTTATTTTTCTGACTATTCAAAATTTTAGATATTTTGTCGACCATTTTTAAGCCGCCATTTTGAATTTCGAAAAAATTAAAATTTCTAGCAATGCTTAAATGAAAGGTCATAATACATTTTTGGTCGCGATATTTTGTCAGTCCAAATTTTTCCTGAAGCGATTTCCAAACGAAAATATAGTTTTAATGAAAGAAAAACCAAAAAATAATTTTTTTTTTGTCTAAATAATCATAACTTTTAATCCTTAAGTCAAAAGTTAAATTTTCTTGCAGATTCTGAAAGAGGACGAAAAAATACATCAGAAATGTAAATTGTAAATGTAAATTGATGATTTGAATCAAATAAATTTTTTTCAGTGTTTTATTTATTTATTTGTTTGTTTACTACTATTGTTTTTGTAACTAAATTTTTTTTATGTATTATTTTTACCGTTTTGATTCTAAATTCCTAAATTTTTTTATATTTTGCTCCCTTCCTTTTTCCTTTTTGGTTTATTGTTTCATTACTCCTTTTTCCCCTATTTTTTCCAATGTTCTTTTTTCCTACTATTTTTTTCTTTACTCTATTTATCTCCACTTTTTTTTCCTCCACTATTTCTTGTCTTCACCCTACTAATTTTTTCCTACTATTTTTTATCTTTGTTATTTTTACCCTATTATTTTTTATCCCTACTATTTTTTCCCCTACTATTTTTTATCCCAACTATTTTTTATCCCAAGTATTTTTCCACTAATATTTTTTTCCTACTATTTTTCCCCTATTATTTTTATCCCTAGTATTTTCCCCCTACTATTTTTTATCCCTACTACGATTTATTCCTACTACTTTTTCCCGACTATTTTTCTTCTTTTCTCTTCTTCACTAATTTTAACCCTGTCTTTTGTCTCCATTTTTATTCTTTCTCTTTCTCTCTCTTTTCTCTAAAAAAATTTTGTTATCTCCTCTAAGAGAACAATACAGACCTGAAAATTTGGAAAAACTATTTAAAAAAAAAATTCATTATGAATGAAAATTAAAAATTTTTTATTTCTATAAACATACTTGTTTGCTTGTCAATTTGCCTCTAATCATATCGGTGAAAAAAAAAAAAAAAAATTCCAAAAAGGTCTGTCTCATTCTTTTATCGAGACTCGTGTTTTCTCTTAACTTCCCCCCCCCCCTCTTTCTTTCTAACCTACTTCTCCTTTTCTCATCATCCTTGCCTGAAACTTAATTAGTTTTCTCACCCGGGGGACATTTCCCTTGAGATGACTCGAGAGCCATCGATGAAATTGGCTTCTGATATCCTTTGCAATTCGTTCTTAGATTCCCTGGTTTCCTTCCTCACTCTTTTTTCGTTGAGCAATGGAAACTTGAGGAAACTCAAGATCCTGGAATCTGCGCAAAATGATTCTTGATTTGATAGGGAAGCAAAAAAAAAAAATAAAAGAAAAGTAAAAGCATTCTTTAACACTTTTCATATTTCAATTTTTCTTCATTGTATGCAAATAAAAAACAAGTACTTTAACTCTTGACAAATTTTTTTTTTTATTTTTATAATAATATAATATAATAATTAATAATAACAATTATTATTATTTATAAATAATTACTTATTAATTAATAATTAATTATAATAATTATTACCTAATTAATAAGTTTTAATTAATTAATTGCAATTATCATTAATAATTACTTATTAATTAGTAATTATATTTGTATAATTAATAATAATTATTATTATTTATAAATGAAAAAAATCATTTTTGGTATCAAAATTGAAAGTTTCAGGCAAAGATGAATATTTTTCCAAAATCCAAAAAATCCTGTAGTGTATTTTCGACTTTATAAATCTTTATCTCTACTTCTCTTCTCTTAATTTATTTTCATCTAACCTATTTCCTTGGGTTTGCTTCTAAGAAGCTTTTAATATCTGCTGCGCTGCTTTTTGCCAATCGTCGAAGAATTTTTTTCTAAATGACGGCCCTTTTTTCAAAAAAATACTTTTATTTATAAAAAATATGTACTTATACAATATTGTTTATGAAAATTTATAAATTTTTAAACATTCAGATCGAAATTGGCTAAGCGTTGCGCAGTAGTAATGCCGACGTAATTATACTGATAAACGTTGTTGACAAAAATTAAACTCACGTGGCAATTTTTTTTTTTTAATAAAAAATACATATTTTTTATTCTGTAAATTAAAAACATTTTTTATTCTCTAAATTAAAAATTTTATTTTTCGTTTTATGTCGTTCTAATTTTAAAATAAAAAACTATTTTTCTATGTAGTATTGGAACGAGAAATGTTGATTAATTTTATTGTTGAGTTTCAATATTACTTTTTTAATTTCGAGTTTCAATAACAATATTAATTTTACTGTTGAGTTTAAAAAAAAAAATTGTTAAGAAAATAATGCGAAATGGAGAGTTGAGTTTTGTGAGTGGCTGACGCTTCCCTCACCAGGGCGACCGGCTCGCAGCGAGTGGCTGACGCTTCTCCCACTGCGTGCCACGGAGCGCACTGACTGGATGACGCTTTCCCCACTACGCGACCCGTCTACGCCCACTTTCAAAATTATCGCCTCACCATTAGCAGAATTCTTCTAATTCGCACAATTTTTTTCCATTCTATTTAATTTTATTCCTTCTTTTACTATTTTATTATTATTTACTATTTTATTCATTTCATTTACTGTTTTATTATTATTTACTATTTTATTTATTTCATTTACTGTTTTATTATTATTAATTATTTTAATTTATCTCTCATTATTTTATTTATTTGTTTTACTGTTTTATTATTATTTTTTTTTTTTAAGGCAAAGGAAATTTTTTTTGCGAACAATAAGAAAAAAAAAATCTTTAATCTAAGAAAGATGAGAATAACAATTTATCAGTATGATTACTGCGGCTATAATGTTGAATTGATTTCTCCAAATATTTTGTATATTTATGATTTAAAATCTTTTTTTTTTTTTTTTTTTTTTTTGAAAAAAAAAGAGTTGCGAACTCTTCACTTTATACCAGTTTGTCGCTTTTGTGTTTGTCTCCATCTATTATCCTGTTTGATTCGTAACAGCCGTGATTGTAGTGTGTAGTGAGTAGAAAAACAACAGCCAGTTATCTTTTTTATCATCACCGTCACCACTGTTCTATTTTCTCTCTTTCTAGCAGCCTATCGCAGCTATCCAGGTGCAATTACCTAGTCGCAATACACCAATCACCTGACCGGTTTATCTAGATTATATATATCTCTCTCTATATATATTTAATACTTTATCTCGCAATAGACTGTCACACTTCACTTTCTTTATTCAAGAGACAATTTACTATTAAAGAAAAAAAAAAAAAAAAATTAAATATAAACTGAAAACAATGGAAAATGATTAAAATGCTTCGTAAATTAACGAAAGAAAATTAAAAGAAAACCGTGATTATATATAAAAAAAAACTTGAAAAATTTTTGAAAATGGTCTCTTAGTAAATGGAGTAAAGTGACGATTGCTAAACTAAATAAAAAGTAGTGAATACCTTTTTTCATAAATACACACCAACCTGCTGACAAGCTGTGCTGCACGAACCCCGGCTATCAACCCTGCTGCTGTTTGCTGCCCCTCCACACAAGCGCTACACTCAAGCTCTGTAAAATAATTTT